CCAGCAGCGGAGCGTGTGCACTTAACCGCTACACCACAGGGCCTGCCCGACATATTTTCCAGCTATGTCTTCTCTTGGACTCCTTAGGCTGTAATCATTGCATTCCTAGAATGTGATCTCTTTCCATGCTGATTACACCCTTCCCTTCCACACACTCCCACCAGTGGGCAAGATAGGTGAGAAGCCCATGGGCAGGGCCAGAAAAGTAGTCCCAATCGCACAAGGAATATCCATCCAGTTTAAGACTGACCCGTAAGAGTGGGACGCCATCTCATCAACTGAAGGCATTAGCTCTGTTGCAAAGACCCGTTTGTGCTGTGGAGCAAGCTTCTCAAAAGCCCTTGTAGGGACCAGGCCCAATCCCTCCAGAGGACTGCCAAACACATGGTGCAGAGCCTGCAGTGGGGTGAGGTGACCGCCACAGGGGCCAGCAGTGGAGCACACAAAGTAAAGTTCATTGTCACTTCCCCTGCTGCCCTCGGGTGCTGTAGAAGGGAGGTGGCACTGCAGTGAGAACACAGACAAAAGCAGAGGCCCATATACATGCTTAAGCCCAAGGGTAAGCGTGACCTTTGGTAGCCTACAGCCCTAAACTCATGCTGTGTCTCACACGATGGTCGCCCAAACTCATCATGTTACCAACATACTGTGAACTCAATCACGCCAAAACTATACTCTGAAAGCCAGCAGAAAGGTTCTGCTCACCGGGACCAGCCCATAGGCTTGAGTCCCAGGGCTTCTCATGGCGTCTTGTTGAACACATGTGTAGGTGTGGGTAGAGGGGAAGAGCTCCTCAGAAAGGGAGATCCTATCTGAGCTTGGTTCCACCTGGACACCTCAGCCATGCTGGCTGGTCTGGGGCACTGAAAGAATATTTAGAAAATTTCTAGAAAGGTGCTTCCTAAATCAGATCCACTTCGGACACAGGCCAGGGTGCCCCAGTACTTTTAGCCTGGCTGGTCTCAGGGTGTTGGAGGGGGATTTAGGAAATTTCAAGGAAGGCACTTCAAAGATGGAACCTCACTCGCCTGGGCTTAAAGGTGGTACTGAGGTTATCAGTGCCTGGTATACCTTTGACTTTCTCAGGACATTTCATGTTAGCACATCTTCAGGTGAAATAATTTCCCCAACAGTGAAGGAAATTCCTATTCTGTTTTTTAAAACAAGTTTTAAAAATACTAAGCCATTTAAGCTACCTTAAATCCTTTCTAGATTCAGATGGGGGTTTCTATATTAATTTGTTTCCTTGACACAATCACCTCTATTTTTATGGAGTCAGCTGGGGCTCTGGTGAACTCAGAGCATGAGGCTGGCTGAGATAAGTCTGGGTGTGCTGGGTGAGGCTTTAGTAATAGTGATGAATGTACCGTGAAGGATTACTATTGTTCCTTCCATTCTCCCGCGCTGGAGCAGAATTTGGGGAGTGCCCTTCTGACCATTCTTATTAGGTAATTATCCCTCAGGGATTCTGGCTAGGACAACAGGAGCACACAAAAGGTCATGATATGCTAGTAATTCAGCAGTTATTTTTGACATTTTGTTTTCTTCTTGAAGATGGATATCAATCTTCCATCTGTACATTGATTGACCATCTACAAAACATTATATGGGTTGAGTCACCTGGATTATTCTATCAGCCTTCTAAATGTTCTGTCAGCAGCCTCTCTTGTCCTCCTCTTCTCATAGACCAGATAATTCTAAAATGTAAATCTATTAATGTTACTACCACTTGTCACTTTAATAGTTTGCGTTGCCCTTCATTTCCTCTCTCTGGCCTTCTCCACATTTTCTCTTTGCCTGCAGGCCCTTACACGTGCTGTTTGTCCCACGTGGAACATTCCACAACCCCATTTTCCCCATTAGTCTGGCTAATTTATACTTGTCTTTTGTGCCTCAAATTAAATTTTACTTTCTCTTAAAAGTTATCTCAACATCCCCAAACTAGTCTTTCCTATTATTACACAAATCACACTTTATCATTGCTTTTTTATTTGTCTCTACTTTTTCCCAGAATGCAAATTTTGTTAGAATAGAGATTGTATCTGTCCTGTTCTCCATTGTAAATAGTTTGCTTAGCACAATTAACGGAAAATTGTTGCTGAATAAATAAATTACATAACGTTTACAGCTTTATGAAGTAAGCATTATATTAGCCTCATTTTACAGATAAGAAAACTGAGGCTCACCAAAGCAAAATAGTTGGACTTCATATGTTGAAGAAACGTTTAGCAGCTGTCAAAGATCTACCATTTTCCTTTTTGGAAACCGCAAAAAAAATGTCATTGTGTCTAGAAGCTTTGGGATTTTTCATGACATGTCACCTCTACGGTTGGCAGGAGGGTCATGATGTATTGTAAAAGTATGGATAAGTGCATATGAGATCTTCAGAGTTATTGGTATCTTTAGAGTGATGGTGTCTGTACCATCCCAGTTATCTTTATCTTTAACTTTAACATGTGTCTCCACCAAGGTATGAATGTTTCATGACTTGATCTGTCTGGTTTTTTTTTTTGTGAGGAAGATCAGCCCTGAGCTAACAACCATGCCAATCCTCCTCTTTTTGCTGAGGAAGATTGGCCCTGGGCTAACATCTGTGCCTATCTTCCTCTACTTTATATGGGATGCCGCCACAGCACGGCCTGACAAGCGGTGTCTCGTGCGCACCCGGGATCCTAACAGGACCACTAGCAGCAGAGCGCGCGCACTTAACCACTATGCCACAGGGCCGGCCCCTTGATCTATCTGTTCTGACTCAGCAATTCTTAATATCCTGGTCCATACCATAAAGAGCCTCCAGGTCCTGTCCCCTTCAATACAAAACTAACACCACACTCCTAATCCACTCAATCTACTATGGCACTCCTCCACCAAAGAAAAACAAACAAGCCACCCAGCTTTGTTCTGGGATCAACGGCGCACATGGTATGAGGTTCATGGCAAAGCTTAGTTCCATATCTACTGTATCAACCCAATGTGGCTGATCCCTTAATCAAACAATTCTTTGTAATATAAATAAGATTCTACATGCTCTTCATGTTTGCTGTTGAGAACAAAGCTCTCCAGTTAGAGAAAATACAAACCACAGTGCACCACTGGTTCCTATAAAAACACCTTGTGGGGGCCTGCCAGGTGGCATAGTGGTTAAGTTCATGTACTCTGCTTCAGCGGCCTGGGGTTCAGAGATTTGGATCCCGGGCACAGGCCTACGCACCACTCATCAAGCCACGCTGTGGCAGGCATCCCACATATAAACTAGGGGAAGATGGGCACGGACATTAGCCTAGGGTCCATCTTCCTCAGCAAAAAGAGGATTGGCAACAGATGTTAGCTCACGGCTAACCTTCCTCGCCAAAATAAAAAACAAACACACACCTTGGGGGTAACAAAAGTCTTTTGTTTTCTCTCAGTTTAATTGTTCTAAAAATCTCTATTATGTATGTATCTATCTATTCTGGAAGGATATATATGCAAATGTTAACAGGGTCATAAGTTTCATAGGAATCCCTCCATATCCTTCCCCATCTCTACCTTATCAAGACTGTTAAGACTATGAAAGAACATCATTCTCCAGAGATTTCAAAGCAGTGAATGTAACATCTGAATATTGCATTTTATTGCAAATAAGAGCAAAAATTCGAATATTTGATGGTTCTCAGTTTCTTGCCATCCTTAAATATCAGTCTAAAGCAACACAAAAGAATCAAAGCACAGTCTAACTTGGAGAGAGGAGTCCCCAGTCCCCGTCAATACTAAAACAACTAAGCAAACTATGACAAAGATGAAATCAACGTGGTCTCAAAGGAAGGATCAGGTCACAAGGACAGAAAAATATCGAGTTACACCCCTGGTCAGAATTCCTGATAGGGTGGTGCTAATATTATCAGAAGCAATAATACCAGAAGAGGCAATAATACTTTGACAAAGGTAGATATGACAGGTGGTTGGCATAACCACCCCGTAAGTTACAAATATGTAATTAAAGGTCAAAAGTGTCCACATTGCATCTATATTGGACTTTTAGATGTTTGGTAAGAATTTTCCCCTTGAGATTGCAAATCTGCAATTAAAAGGGCAATTCCAGGTAGCAGACATGCTTTGCTGGGTTCACACAGTGGGTTTTGTTTTTTAAATCCATACTTCTATCTTGAGAACTTGAAGATTTGGAAACACTGATCTCACATTGCAGGGTGACAACCGTCAGTGGGAGCTGGGCAGTTGGCCCCCTTTCAATAGGTCATGTGTTTGAGACAATTGTTTCCACTTCTATTTTCTTATACCAGCCCCCCTTTCTTCATTTACATCATCCGCCTATCTCCTTTAGGCATAGGAGTTTGCAAGCCCTGCTCTACAGAGACTGTCCTTTCCATCCATCTCTACCTGTTCAAATTCTAGTCATCATTCATGGTTCATATCAAATGTCAACCTCTCTTCTCTTCCTCCAACAATCAGATGTGAGTTCTCCCTCTTTTGAATGCTTATGACATTTCTTACACTTCTTTTGTAGCATACACAGGATCCAGTAATACTATTATTATTATCTGTATTGTACTTACCTTGTTAGTGTAACATTCATTCATTCATTCACCCATTCATTCACCAAAAATTTAAGTACTAGGTGCCACACACTAGGTTAAGTACTGTGGATATTGCCACGAATAAGAGAAACAGAGACAGGCCCTCAAGGAGATACTGAGAGCAGGATCTGTCTCGCTCATCTTTGCTTCCACCACAGAGCCTAGGAAATTGCCTTGTACTTAATAAATGCCCAGTTGGCATTTGTTGAAGTGAGGTTTTGGCAACTCTATTAACTTAGTTTATACCATTCTATCAAATAAAAGCATTGGAGCTATATTTCTTCAAAAAGAATTCTGAAAAGTAATTTTCATTAACATATACCAGCCACGAAATATTTCTTCTCCCATTCCAGTTACTATGAATCATCAAGGTTTTATCCTGAAATGGTACTCAGAGTACTCAGATGTCCCTCTAAATTTAGTTACCTGGGTAACTGCTGAAAGAGAGGCGACTACTGATGGTGTCTTTATCTATGATATTGAAGTCCCAGTGTTTATATATCCTGAGCATGGCTGCATACGTGTACCAGCTTGAGTGAGCAAAAAAGATGTTCTCAAATCCAGGAAGAACCTATAGCCAGAATCATAGTGAATTACACAGAGATACATAGACAACTGACTACAAGGGTAGGAAGCGTACAGGGATTGTGTTGTCAGGTGTTTATTGCTTTATCACCAGAAAATATGACCAATAAGTCCAACATCAACCTTTAATGTGTACAAAACAGACACTGTCCTAGCATCCAAAATGGAAGACTCTGGAAGGTGGGAGTGGCAGGCACATATAGCATGGGAGGAATGGTGGAAGAAACGGAGGTAACATCATGTACTTTCAGTTCCCTCCATCAGTTGCTTCCAGTTCTTAATTTCTATAATAGAGGAACACATGAGCTGATGTACAGCCATAGCCAGGGGTAACGAGATGTTGCCGTACTCAGGTGATATATCAAGGAAGTCTGTGTGGACCAGAACAAGGAAAAAGAGAGAGGCTGCCACATGTGTCTCACCTTAATAAGAGCAGAGCAATGTCCCATATCCCATCTCTTAAAAACTTTCAGGTTGTACTTCTGTGTGGGAGAAAGTGAGGGAATCAAATCCAACAGATCTCCAATAGCATTCAGGAACTGAATCTGGAATAAGGTTATGGGCTGGGAAAAGACAAAGACTGCTTTTAACATTGATTTTTGACAGTCAGATATCATTTTCTATTTTTCCTCTTGTTAGGGATCTATTAAATTATTCCTTTATGGGGTCCGGCCCGGTGGCATAGCAGTTAAGTTCACGTGGTCCACTTCAGTGGCCTGGGGTTCGTGGGTTCAGATCCCAGCCACGGACCTACGCACCACTTATGAAGTCATGATGTGGCGGCATCCCACATATAAAGTAGAGGAAGATGGGCATGGATGTTAGCCCAGGACCAATCTTCCTCAGCAAAAAGAGGAGGATTGGCAACAGATGTTAGCTCAGGGCTAATCTTCCTCACCAAAAAAAAATTATTCCTGGGGCCGGCCCTGTGGCTTAGCGGTTAAGTGCATGCGCTCCACTACTAGGGGCCCGGGCTCAGATCCTGGGAGTACACCAATGCACCGCTTGTCCAGCCATGCTGAGGCGGCGTCCCACATACAGCAACTAGAAGAATGTGCAACTATGACATACAGCTATCTACTGGGGCTTAGAAAAAGGGAAAAAAAAAAAAGGAGGAGGATTGGCAATAGAGGTTAGCTCAGGGCCAGTCTTCCTCAGCAGAAAGAGGAGCATTGGCATGGATGTTAGCTCAGGGCTGATCTTCCTCACAAAAAAAAAAAAAAATTATTCCTTTATGAAGGGTCCCTAATGTAACAGATACATTAGATTTTATTGTAGCTTATAAAATAATTTTTATTACTTTATAGTTAAGAGATATTTTAGTATGTTTCGATATCCACAGATTTGGGGAATGGCTCCTAAAGAGTAAAACAAACAGACCATTCTGTTTGCATTCCTCTATAGCAGATTTTCTCAATCTCTGCACTAGTGATATTTTGGGCCTAATAATTCTTTCTTGTCGGGGGCTGTTCATTGTAGGATGTTTAGCAGCATCCCTGGCCTCTACTCACTAGATATCAGTAGCACCTCCCAGTTTTGACAACCAAAAATGTGTCCAGGCATTGCTAAATATCCTCTGGAGGGAAATCACCCCTAATTGAGAATCACTGCTTTAGGGCAAAAGCATTCAACTAAGATGCTTTAGATTTTGATTGCGTGTTTAACTAACTAACTAACTTGACAGCATTAACCCTGAAGCAATGATCAGACTTGAACATGAACTTTGTGCTAACTAGAGAGCACTGCTCCAGCAAGATTCAGTCCACCAGAGTAGCCCGGGGGTGGGCGTCTACAACCAAACTGGTTTTTAGGCAGACGTGGCGGGAGGACAAACACAAAAGCCATTGTAACCAAAACACAAAAACAAAAACAAAAGGCTCAACCTGATTATTTATTTATATAAGTATTCTCTTTGTTTTGGTTTTTGAAAAAGTAATACATTCATTATTCAAGATTTTTAAAATTATAAGAAGATCTATAGTGGAAATTCTCCTCCTACTCCCATTCTCCACTGGCTCAAGTCCCATCCTGTCTTCAGTTTACTACTTCTACTGGTTTCCTGTGTCCATCTATAGACTTTTCTGAATGTCTTTACACGCAAATGTTAGTGTATTATATGCACTACTCCTCACCTTGTTTTTTTCTGTCAATATCTTTAACTCAATATCTTGGGGATCTTTCCATGTTGGATGTAAAAATCTTCTTCATTCTTTTAAACAGTATTCCAATGAATGGATACACTGTAATTATTTTTAACCAGTATTTTATTGATGGACTTTCAGTGGTTTCTAGTCTTTTGCTACTATAAACAATGTGAAAATAATCAATCTTGGACACATCATTTTGTATGTGTGTGAGTCTATGCATAGGATAGATTCCCAGAACTGATTTTGATTTTACTAGATATTGCCAAATTGTCTCCATAGGGCTTGTTTCAATTATACTCTTACAGCTTCAATAACGTATTAAACATTTCGTTTATTTCCAATTTGATAGGTGAAAAACAGTATTTCGTAGCTTATTGGCATTTCTTTTGTTATGAGTGAGGCTGAGCATATGTTTAAAAACCACTGGATTTGTTTTTTTGTGAACTGTTCATATGCTTGATCTATTTTTCTACTTGGTTATTCTGTTTCTCATTGATTTTTAGGAGTTCGTTAAGTATTAGGGAAATTAGTTAATTGTCTCTGATATGAATTGCAAATTTTTTTGCCTTTATTTTTAAAATTAAGAATGATACCATACATATCAAAGAATAAAGATGTAAATGTGTAATTTAAGGAAAAATAACAAAAATAAACACCTGTGTAACCACCTCACAGCTTGAGAAACAGAACATTAGTTTTGCCTTAGAAGTCTCCAGTCGCACGTCCCTCCTTCCCTACCAGTAGTAACCACTCTGCTAAATTTTCTGTTGCTCATTACCTGCTTTTCTATTATTTTATCATCTATGCATGAATCCCTAAACAATATATTTTTAAAAAATTTCCCTGCTTTTGAATTTGTACAAATAGAATCATATTGTGTTCATTATTTTGCTCAATATTATTTTTTGACATTAATCAATGTCGATGGTGTGGAAATAGTTCATTCATTTTCATTGCTATATGATATTCCATTACACAAATGTATATATAGTATCACAATATGCTTATGATGAACATTTGGGATGTTTCTAGTTCACAGCAAAACAACGGTACTGTTTTATGTACATGGAACCCACATACAAGAGTGTCTTTAACCTCTGAGTGGATTTACTAGGTTATAGAATATGCATTATCTTCAAATGTTTCAAGTAATGCCCAATCCTTTTCCAAAGTGGTTGTAGTAATTTACTCACTCCAGCAGAGGTTGAGATTTCCCAATTCTGGTGCATAATAGGATCTCACAGAGGTTTTAATATGCATTTCTTTAAAATAGAGCATTTCTTCACATGTTTTGGGCCATTTGTGTTTCCTCTTCTGTGAAATTCCTGTTGATGTTTTTTGCCCTTCCCCGTTTTTCTATTGGGTATTTTCTTTTTTTAAATTTTTTTGTTGATGTTCTTTATGTATTTTAGATACGAATCCTTTGTTAGTTAAATGTATTGCAAATATTTTCTCTGGGTTTGCAGCTTAGCTTTTCACTCTCTAGTGTCTTCTGATAAAAAGAAATTCATTTTAATTAGCTGAATTTATCTATCTTTTTCTTCATGGCCAGTGCTTTTGTGTTTTGTTTAAGATATTATTGCCTAGCCTAAGAAATATTCTCTGTGGGAAGGCTCAGCGCTAGTGGGTCAAGACTATTGTCATTACTTCTAGGCCTTTTCAGGGGACAAAGCAAGGAAATACGTATTTTTTTAAGGAAGCTAAAAGAAATGATTTTCTACCTATATAACAATTTTAAAAATTACAGAGTCTTTACTTCATTGATTTTTCTTATGTTAAAAATCTTGATATCCAACATATTTACTTATTTGCTTATCTTACTACATCTATTTATTAAACTCTATCAAATTTCAAAATAAAAATACCAATATTATTACTAAAGTAAGATTACTGAATAGAGCTAAAAGTTGTTTTGTTTTTGTTTTGTTTTTGTGGGGAAGATAAGCCCTGAGCTAACATCCGTTGCCAATCCTCCTCTTTTTCCTGAGGAAGATTGTCCCTGGGCTAACATCCGTGCCCATCTTCCTCTACTTTATATGTGGGATGCCTACCACAGCATGGCTTGATAAGCAGCACGTAGGCCCGCACCTGGGATCTGAAACTGCGAACACCAGCCGCTGAAGCAGAGGACATGAACTTAACCACTGTGCCACCGGCCGGCCCCCTGTTTTTATCTTTTTGATGGTTCTTCTTGTCCTCAGGATCTACCCCACTTAAGGATCTATAGCAATAACTGTATTTTTAAGGTCAGTTGAAATAAGTGGTCTCTGTATGGTTATGTCATGAACTTAATATACAGTTAGATATATTTGTGTCAATTTGTTTTCAGATTTTAGGAATTGTTTTCCTTATATGTAATTAAACTGTATTTTATAATTATGAACAGTATATTCATGGTTCCAAAGTCAAATGTATAAAGCAAGTTACATTCAGAGAAATGTAGCTTTCATCCCTGTCTCCTCCATCCTTCACTCTCTTTTCCTCCTTTTTTTTTTTTTTTTTGGTGAGGAAGATTAGCCCTGAGCTAACATCTGTTGCCAACCCTCCTCTTTTTGCTGAGGAAGATTGGCCCTGGGCTAACATCCATGCCCATCTTCCTCCACTTTATATGTGGGGCACCTGCCATAGCATGGCTTTATGAGTAGTGCATAGGTCCATGCCCAGGATCTGAACCTGTGAACCCCAGGCTGCTGAAGCTGAGCATGCGAACTTAACCACTATGCCACTGGGCTGGCCCCTATTCCTTTTTTATAGGTAATCATTTTTTGTTTTGTTTGGGGTTTATTCTTTCATTGTTGTTTCTTCTTGGAAAGATAAGCAAATCTCTCTTTCTCTCTCATCTATCATCTATCATCTTATTTCCATTTCTTATGTAAAAGGTAGCAAATGATACACACTGGTCTTTACTTTACTTTTTTACACTTAATAACAGATCCTGAAGGTCACTCCGTAACAGTATATGGAGATCTGCCTCATTCCTGTTTACTGCTACATCATTTATGCAGCAAGTCTTCTATGTATTTGGCTGTTTTCAGTCTTGGGCTACTACAAATTATCCACAATGAATAGGCTTACACATATGCCATATTGTACTTTTGCCAGTGAATCTTTGTCATAAACCTAGAAGTGGGATTACTGGATCAAAGGGTAAATGAGTATGTGATTTGAATACCGAGTGCCAAATTTCCTGTCTGTAGCAGATATACCGTTTTGCATTCCCACCAATATTTTAGGAAAGTGCCTTTATTCCCCATAGTCCTGCCAACAGAGTATGCTTTCACATTTTTGCCAAATTGATAAGTGAGAAAGTATTCCTCAGTATGGTTTTAATTTATGTTTCCAACCTTATGAGCAAGGCTGAGCTCATAGGACGAAGAATTTTTCGCATCACTTTTCTATGAACTGTCTTTTTGTACATTTTGTCTAGTGTATGTCTATATATATGTCTAGTGTGTGTGTGTGTAATATATATATATTACTCCCAGGAAACAAAATCTCCATTATTTTTGGAAGTATATTAAATGGTACTTTTGAGTCTTCAATGATTCAGTAAAGCTTTCCAAACAAATTACGATGTGTGCACACGTAGGTGTGTGCTGTGGAGGATGGGAAGCTTAGAACTTGTACACTTAGACTTAACAATCATATTATCTAAAACACTAGCTTTATTAGGTTAGTTAAACAGCCAGTACATCCATACCAGGTCTTTAACCACTCCAGAGCACAATATTATGAAAGAGATTGAGAAAACACAGAAACAAGTTGGTTTATTTGTGTGTTAAGCTTGAATTTTGTGTCAGACAGTGAATCAGGTACTAGCAATATGATAGACAAGACAGTGCCTGTGTGCAAGGAATTTATACTCTAGTCCTAGTCCTTGATCTGCTTCTAAACTGGAATGTTATTTTAAAGACAATTTTCAATATTCCTGCCTTACCATGAAAATTCTGAGTAGCTTCTTGAAAATCTTACCTTTGTCCCTTCTAATTCAGCCCTCCTTACTGCTCCTACATACAGCCCATTCATTTGCGCCATAACATAGGCTACATGTCTCCAAAACGGGTCATCCTTGTGATCTTTGATCATTTTCTGGATCCATTGATCTTGCTTCCTGAAAGAGAAATTAGATTTGTACTAGATGATTCCATGATTGCTCATCCAAAGCTAAATTAAACCCAGGTGTTTAGAGATTATATATTCAGATACTTATGCTAGCATAATTTAAATTCTGGATCTTGTAATGTTCCAATCACTTTGAAAGGATATCAGGGCAAATCCTAAATGATTTTTAATTTCTCCCTAGGACTATGTCTCTTCCCTTATAGCTCCCTCCATGATCTACCTAGAACTGAAACACAGGTGTAATATTTACCCACCTGTGATACTGAGACCTAAGAAAGTCAAGGATAGACCACCCAAATGCATTTCAAATAAAATCATGTCTCACTAAATCAGTAAGGATAAATTGATCAACTTTATTTTTGTACGTCAGAAGTGGTAAAGTTAAACAACAGGAAAAAATAAAAACTCCTAAAGACAGGGTAGTTTGTATATGTTTATATTTCTCTCAAATCATTTTCATAGTTTATGGTTCATTCTATTTCAGTTGTTACTAACAACTAACTCAACAGCTCTGTCCTAGCATGCTTAGCAAAAAGTCTTGTTTTTTATAGTTCTTTCATTTTGTCTCTCCTTTTAGTTTTCTGCACTTCAGAGGGGATGATGACATCACTTTGTATACTGAAAGCTATTTCTGATTTGTCAGGCTCCCTCTAGATCAATTTTAGAATACGATGTCATTGCTTCATGGGATTTAGCCCACTGGTTTTTAACTGATGCTCTGTAGGACGTTAGCATTCGATGAAGAGGTTCGTTAGCATATGATTCAGAGGGCCAAACCATGAGCCCCTCTGTCCCCAAATCCATCTTGTAGGGTCTGTCATCTCACAAATATAAAACAGATTTTCTGAATATGGAGAATGATTAGTCTTCAGAAAACTTTATTAAAATGGGAATATTATCAGAGGATGTTAGAATTATGATTTTAGACATTAGCTAACACCCCAGCTAGGATTAGTCACCAGGCCCATGAAAAGGAAATACCTTAAAGAGTGTGGAGGAGAGATGTCTGCAAGGAGAGGGGCCCTCAAGCGGAAGTGATCCAGGTGGTTAACTCTGCCGGCCTTACACTGATGGTGTCTTCCTCCAGTTGTGTTAGCAATTAATAATGTGATATTTAACCTGACCTCTGAGAGAGCCCAAATTAGGGGACATGTTGTCTGCAACCAGTTTTCATACCATTACCAAAAAGTGCTATACCTTACAACTGGAACAAACTCCAGACTCCTGCCTAAGAGATAGAAAAGAAACTGGCAAAGCAAAAATTGCTATTTGAAATGATAGATTTAGGCCCTGCAGCCTCAATAACAATGAGAAAAGGAAAGCTATTATACATACACTATAAAATCTTGCACTTTATTCACGATGGAAGTTTTCTTAATCAGCTGTGGGTAGAGGTTTGTGAAGTGGTCCTGAATTTGTCTGAAATGATAGATGAAAATTATTACATTTCTATTTTTCTTCTTGGATTTCTCCATCCAAGTAAATTACTCAAACTTTTGGCTAACTAGGACATCCCCTATTGCAAACATTCCCTACTATCTTTTTTATAAATCAAATGCACAATTTAAAGTTGGGAAATATTTCCAACTTACAGAAAAGCATAGAATATAACAAACACCCAAGTATCCATGACCCAACTTTATTAAATCACTATATTTTGCCATATTTGCTGTTTTAATTTCCCAAGATTATTGGCTATTTAGGATTCTTTATCTTAAAACTTACTTTAAAAAAATTAAACATGTCTCATATGCTATACCATAAACATTTTTTATTGAGATATAGTTGACATATAAAACTGTGTAAGTTTAAGGTGTACAGTGTTGATTTGATACATTTATATATCGCAGTATGATTACCACCACAGCATTAGCTAACACCTCCATCACATCACATAATTATCATTTCTTTTTTGTGGTGAGAACAATTAAGATCTAGTCTCTTAGAAACTTTGAAGTTTATAATACAGTGTTGTTGACTGTAATCACTATGCTGTGCATTAGTTCTTCAGAACTTATTTGGAAGTTTGTATCCTTAAAAAACATCTCCCCAATTAAATATTTTTTAATTAACAAAAATAATCCATTTACATTTAATGTGATTTTAATATACTGGGATTTATTTCTACAATCTTTTCTATTTTCCATTTACCATCCCTTTCTTTGTGCCTCTTTTATGTTTTCCTTGTTTAGATAACACTTTCATTACCTTTCTTTTTACTTCTGCTGTTTTAGAAGCTATAAAACTTATTTCTGTTCCATTAGTGTTCATCATTAAAATTTTTAAAAACATTCATAACTATGCATTTTCTTATCAACTCTAAATAAATTTTATATTTCTCTCCTCCTCCAAACATGATGCATATTTTAGCAAGCTTTAACTGCCCATTGACATCACCCACCATGTTGTTGTTCAAACATTTAGTTTAACTTTTTTAATTAAAAAGTTATTTCTATTTTAAAATTTTTTATTTTTTAACTATTAAAATCAAATTTTATTAACTTCTTTGTTTCTTGTGTTAATTATTGCTCATTATGTCCCAAACTTTCCCTCCTACTATTATTGTTAACGTATATCCTATAATAGTGTGCATGGTAAAACATTTTAATTTATATATCCAAAAATATTCTTATTTTGCCCTTGCTCTTGGATGATTTAAGTTGCTATAAAATTCTAGTTAGTTATTTTCCCTTGGTGCTTTTAAGATATTATCCACACATCTTCTCGCTCTATTGTTGCTGATGAGAAATATGCTGTCATTCTAGCTGAGATTCCCTTTAGTAAATGTCTTTTCTTTCTGATAGTTTTAAGAATATTCTCTTATCCTCAGTTTTCTGTAGTTTCACCCACTATGTGGTAGCAATTTAATAGGCTCTATCTTCCAACTAAGGATCTTGTCTTTTTCAATTTTGATAAATTCTCAACTATTACCCTGACAACAATTGCTTATCTGCAATTCCTTTTAGTCTCTTTTTCTGGGACTCCTAATAGGCATATGTTGGAGTTTCCCAATCAAACTACTCTAATAACAGCTTTCTCATTATTTTTACCCCTCTATCTCTTTGGGCAGTGTACTACGTAAATTTCTCAATACTAATGTCTGACTCAGAATTTTTTCTCTGATTATGTCCAATCCAGAATTTGCGCATTTATTGATATTTAAAAAAAATTCCACTTATAATATTTCAAACAGGTTCTTTTAAAATATCTACTCATCTTCTTTCTTTCTGTTTCATAAATTCTTCTTCAAGTTTTACTTCATTTATAACTTAGAGTGCCTTAAGCATATTTAGTCTTTATTAAACCATTCCAAAAAATTAATCTGGAGTGTATTCATGATTTTTTTATTGATTTTGTTGACTATTTTTCTTAGCATTCAATTTCTTTGTGTATTTTGGAACTCTAGTGTGCAAGCATTTTTAGTTGTTTGTTTATATTCTCTCTCTCTCCTCTCATTTTTCCCTAAGTGTCTCCATCTGACTCCCTGGAAACGAGGTCTTATAGTGGCTTTTTGAGACTTCTTTCCTATGGGAAATTGTAGATATATCTGTAATTGAACCAGCACATGGATGATTTGGTTCCTGTTGCCCACCCCCCGCCTCCTTTCAAGCTCATGGTTTCTTATAAATCTGTACACTGGGATGCACATCAATACAAGTTATTCTGTGGCCTCCTATTTTATCAACAGTCAAAAGCAGTAAGGTTACTTCTCCTTTCCAGCCTTAACTCAGCCTCACTCAGAGCACTGAGGCCTTCACCCATCAGCAGGGGTGGCTGTCTCTGCCTGCTTCATGCCAAGGGCTCAGCAGATCCATACTTCATCGCCTTGTTTTTTGTTTCTTTTCTGGTTCAAGAAATATTTAATCTTGTTTGGAGGCCCAGCTATATTACCACAGTGCTTTCTTTCTCTATATTTTATCTATCATTTGCTAAAAGTTTGGAACAAAATGGGTCAAATCGTGAACGCCTTGCAACCACTGGACTGAAAGTTTACCTAAAGTCCTAGTTCTGGTTTTTATTTGATGCTTTTTATTGACCTAGAGAGGTCAGCATTGTAAATAGGAGATGACTCAGGTTCCAAGAATGGGAATTTGGCTCCCTGTACTTTGGAACTTTAGGTATCCTTTATCTTGAAGTTTTCAGAAACTAATAAAATGAGAATAGTTTTATCGTCAATTAGGTAAACAACATTGAAATCCTTTGAAATCTTTTATTTTATAGTCCTATTTATTTATAGAATTCAATAAACTTCACTTCATGAGAGCTTGTCCTTCTAATTACCCGTAAATATTTTTTAAAAATTGAATTATTGCATTTAACTTTTGTTTATATATCTTTTATGCTGCCACATCAGTTCTACTATCAAGTTGATCGCTTTTCCCTTTCCACCACCTCTAAAAGTGGGACAGAGAACAGCAACAAAGCTAGACAGGTATGTAAGTGACAAGAAAGGGACCCTCTGTCCTGGCCTCATACTTCGGGTGAATGGAATGCAGAAACTCCAGGTGAGTTAGATGACTTGATTTAGTTGCTCAGGGAGGCAACAATCCTACAGTTTCCCACTCTAAGATTGTGTGGGGAAGCAGAGATGGCTGCCTGGAGGGTCTGGGCTCATGAGCCAAATGTAGCACCCCTGTACACCTCAGTGAGTTTCAGGGAGAAGCCAAATGTTTCTTTGTGTGGTCTACGGTAGAATAAGTAGACATTGGGGGCTGATAGACCTGTTGGGGGCAGAGGACTTATACTTGTGGTATTGATTATGCAACTGGAGATCAGGGAGACCATGGAAAGCTCATCAGATGTCAGACGGGGAGACATTCATGCTAAAGACTAAATGAGATTGTTCCACTATGGTGGATGCCAGAGAAGGACACAGGACAACCATTGATTAAACATATCCCCTCCCTCCAAAATGCCTCAGTAACACCAATCTATTCTGGCAAAGTGTTTTAAGAGGAGGGGAACATTCTGAATTGACTCAGTTTAAATGATAAATTATTATGTTTATTGAAATGACTATGGTAACATTTTCTGCTGTCAGGAGGAATGGGCTCTTGAAATTAAAATGATTTATATAAAAATAAAGTTCTAGTTTTTGGAAAAAATATTTTGTGGGCTATTGACCTATAATGCTCACTCAGGTAAGGAAACAAAAAATGCATACTTTTTACCCAAAGTCTCCATCACTGAGCCCTGCCTAGCTCCACCCAGATGGAGTTCCAGATCCTCTTAGTTTTTCAGTCCATTTCAAAATAGGGCTGTGTTTATCAACTGGAGTGATTTTTCCCTCCAGGGGGCATGTGGCAATGCCTGGAGACTTTTTTGGTTGTCTCACCACTAGGGGAGGGGAAGGTGCAACCAGCCTATAGTGGGTAGAGGCCAGTGATGCAGCTAACATCCTACAATGCAATCCCCGCAGCAAAGAATAATTCAACCCAACATGTCAACTGTGCCGAGGTTGAGAAAACCTGAAACAGAGGAACATTAATCTTGACTCCGGGATGGTTGCTGAGGATGCCCACATAATGGTAGACAAGACAGGTGGAGATATAGGAGGGTAACTGGGCTAGAATTATTGAAATTTTTTCTTTTTTGATAGGGGGAGGCTAGATTTTTCAATTCTGACATTCAGAGCAGGAGAACAGAAACCTCCACTTTGAGATCAGAAGTGGAGGCCTCAACTGATCTTGCCCATTCAGGGGCCCCAAGGAACACAATCCACCTGCAGTCTCCTCAGGTTGAGGCCCTTCTCTGATCCTTGTGCCTGGAGTCCGACACTTTTGTGTGGCAGAGCAATACAGTACAGCAGTTAAGCGTAGAGGCTTTGAATTCTGAGTTCAAAGCTTGACTCTACTACTGCTAGGCTGTTGACCATAAGCAAGATTCCTAACTTCTCCACGCTTCAGAATTCTCATCAAACAGAGCTAATGCTAGTATCCACATCATGAATGCGCTAGATTTAGTTTCAGCTCTGGCGGTGTGTAAAGTCAGTAAGCTGTCTCCTAAGTTGGCCAAGACTTGCTCACCTTTACATCTCTCACATGTGTTTATATGTGAGAATCATGAAGACATGTGTACACCCACCTTTTCCTGAATCTTTTTCACTTATGTTAATACCACATCACTTAGCACTTGTCATGTGCTGTCTCCTACTCTTTTCTAATTGTTTTGACTTTCTGGGTCTGAGACCATATGTGGCTCCTTTCGTATTTCCCATAGTGATTACTCCATTTGTGTGTGCACATATGTGCACGTGCGTGCGCACAAGCTCTGTAATTAGACAACCTGGTTTCTAACCCTGGCTCCTGCTTTGTGATTTTCAGCTTGTTACTTAACTTCTCTGTGCCCCAGCTTTCATATCAATAATATGGGGATAATGATGATACATACCTCACAGTGTTGCTGTGGATTAAGTAATT